TTTCTTTCTTTCTTTCTTTCTTTCTTTCTTTCTTTCTTTCTTTCTTTTTTTTTGTTCGAATTTTCTTCTATAAAATGACCATTATGGAAATGTTTTATGTGGTTGCAGTGTAAAACCTGCATCACATTGCTTATTGTGTCAGGGGTGGGATAGATGAGAGAAGGAGGAATGGAATTTGGAACTCAAAACTTAAAAAAAAAAACCTAATGTTAAAATTTGTTTTTATATATAATTGGGGGAAAACATTTTTTTTAAATGGGATTAAGAGGACATGAATTAGAGAAACTTATTATGAGTGGCTTTCTTAAAGGAGTTTAGCTGTGAAAGTGAGGAGAGAAATTATATGATACTTAATAAATATCTTACTTGTCAATTAAGATGCACTGGGACTCTGGGGCAGGAACAGAGTTCTTGGAACAGCATCTTTCAGCCAAAAACAAGGTTTATTAGAACATCCTTCATATTAGCCAGACTCTTAAGGAATCTGAGCATCTGTGAGCTATTGGCTAGATTATAAGAATCTGAGTAGTAGCTAGATTTTAAGAATCTGAGCACCTTAATGGAGACAAGATGGACCTTATATACAGAAAGACTGTGGGAGGGATCTAGGAGTGGCCAAGTAGTCTTCGTGGACTGTGAAGTAATAGAACTCCAGGGACCTGGACCATGTGGCCAAGGGAGAATGGAGCCTAGCTAGGATTAAGGGTGGGAAGTGGCAGGGGTTCATAGGGAGGTAAGACAATGGAAGGCTAGGCTAGGTTAAGGGTAACAGAGAATTGGGAGATTGGGTGTAGGTGATAAGAAAAGGTCAGTTGATGGGATTATAGTCTCAGGTGAATGCCAGAGATTTGGCCATATGGGAAAATCCAGGGTTTTTCCTTTCTAGAGTCCAGATCCCAACCCCATAATTCCCCCCTCAAACAAATGGGACCCAAATTCTTTTGGGGTAAGGGGCAAAAGTCTTGGCTTCTGAAACTGCTTACTGCTGAGGCATAGAGCTGTCCCTGCCTCAAGGGGTCCCAAAGAGGAGGTTGATTGGAACTGAGCATGGGCTGCATCTAGGGAACGATGTGGGGACATTGGCTGGTACCTGTTGTTTGGCCATTGCCAGTGGAGCCCATGCCTTCCCTTCCCTAGGTGGGGGGAGGGCAAAATCAAAGGTGAAGGGGAAAGGGTGAAACTTTCTTCTCCTATGAGAGGAGTTAACAGATACCTCTTGACTCAAGGGAAGAGAGTGACCAGGTTGCCTAGAGTTTTGAAACACTCTTTAATGATTGATCACAAAACCTCCAGATTCTATTAAAATGTTTTTAGCTGTTCTAACTTTCACCTATAACCTCCATGAAGGAGGATTCAGGGGTGTAGAGGGAAGGGAGTAAGTAAGCCTCAGGGAACCAAAAAGCAACTGCAGTTTTCCCAATTCCCTAGCGCTGAGAGAATTGACAGAATTGGGCATATGCTTCCAGATAGGGGATCTGTCCTTGTCCTCTATGCTGTGGAAGGTGTATGTAGGTCCATGGCCTTGAACCAAACCAGTGAACCAAGAGCCTGAGAGCACCAGGCCTTATGCAAGACAGCCTTGTAACTGTTGGCCTGAAAAGCAGCTACAAGCCTTGGTGCTTGGAGAGTGACCCCAACTACAGAGCAAGAAAGAAGGGGGAGAGGCTTACATACCTTCCAGTCTTGACTGGAGAAGAACTTGGGGTTAGGCATTTTCCCCATATGGGCCACCAAACTATTGAGGTTTAGGGGTACTGGCACCCCAAAATCAAAACAGGTGGCTTCTGCCTGAAAGAATTCAACCCAAGTCTTCTTTCAGCCAAAAACAAAGGTTTATTAGAACATTCATCATATTAGCCAAACTTTTAAGGAATCTGAGCATCTGTGAGCTATTGACTAGATTATAAGAATCTGATCAGTAGCTAGATTTTAGGAATCTGATCAATGGCTAGAATTTCTAATTGGAGAGTATAAACTTGCTCTTGGGAGAGTTGTATTTACATTTAAGGGAAGTGCCTTTGAGACTGTGGAGCATGCATAGACATTTTGAAACTGCTTCCACTCTGTTAACCAGGTTCTTGGGAGGACCCTTTTTTGATTGGAACTGAGTTAGCCTCAAGAAGGCCCAGGAAACTCTGACTATCTCTCTCTTTTGGTTTCATTTGAGAACTCTATTCTGCATATGGAGTTTAAGAGACAATGTCCTAAGTGGAGAGGCTCTAGGGACTCCTCTTTTCTGAAATTATTTAACCCTAAGAAATAGACCTCTGTCCTTGGCATGTTTGTTTATTCTCCACTTGAGTCTCCAACCTAGGGAATTTCAAGAGGTTGAGAAAGAGAGTCCCACAGGAATTCAGGAGTTGAAATCCAGTCCAGGTTTTGCAACCAAATGCAGCATTGATATGCAAGGGGCAATGATTAATCCTTGAGAGTAACCTTTGGGGCCCTAATCCAGTTATAGCTAAAACAAGGAATCAACTGGCAGAAATGCTGCCTTTGGATGTCATCATGGTGGGACCAAGACTATGTAAGAAAAGAGCTAAGTTTGATGTAAGGGAAAACATTCCCCTGGAGACAGGGAGGAGAAATGCTCATGTACTTATTTTTGCTTTATCAGTCCAGTAAATATCCTTTCGTAAAAGTAAGTTGATGTTAAGCAGTTAAATGGAGCTGGAGCTCTAGTTACAGACCCCCAATAATTAGTACAAGTCAATTGTGGTAGAGAAGACACACCCTGACCACTCAAAGTGCCCTGTAAAATGTTATAGATGGCCCATCCCTGGAAGACTGGGACCAAAGAGTGAATATTATAAAGAGATGGAAGAGAACAAACCAAACTGTCAGAGTAGGAAGAAGCATTGCAACCCAGTTTTCCCCCACAACTACTCCAGTGGTTGTTTATCCTTCATTTTCAAAGAGGACCAATGACATCACAGGGGATGACTTGTGAGTGAATTGGATTTAAGTGAGGCAGAGTTGTGCAGTCATCAGTCTTACTCTCTCTTCCTGAGTCGGGATGACTGCAATGGTCTGGGCTGCAGTGGATTACCTTCGTGTTTTCAATATCTAACCAAACTCTAAACATTTCACAATTCCTCTTTCAGCCACTTTCATGGTCCTTGGAACAAATTGTTCTTATCTACCCATTTTGCTGGAGGAAGTCTTCACATGCTTAGGGTAGACATCTCCCAAACTCAGTGAGCAGTTTGAGTCTTGTAGGTTACCTTCAACCTGTCTTCCAAGATAGTTTTGAAGGGGTGTTGCTGCTGCACATGCTACAGCTTCTTAAATGAGAGCTGGGTGACAGGTGGACACCAAAGATGGACAGAGCAGCCCTGAAAAAGGCTCAGCAAACCCTCACACCAGAGGTGCTAGTCCTCCCTGAGCACCCCATACACCCCTGGTACTCTAGACATACTCCTCTAGTAATCAATCAATTAAGTATCATTTATTATAAATACCCACTGTGTGCACTAAGCATTGTGCCGAGTGTGAGGGAAACAAAGAAAGCCAAAGGAAAAAAAAAAGCCAAAGAAAGCCAAAAACCCTGTTGTCAAAGAACTCAGTCTAAAGGGGGAAAAATGTACAAACAGTTACATTTAAAGAGGTTCAAAAGTCAGCATTACAACAAAAGGTGAACAATGAGATGATGCTTCCCTTTACCCAGGTCAGAAATTCACAGGATTTGGTCATAGTTCTTCCTGCAAGTTAGTAACTTTGGCTGATAAGTTAGAGTACATAAAGAGCACACAGTGATATAAACAACCAGGACGAAGACAATGCTGGTATTTCAAATGCAGCAGTTTTATTAATAAGCTAAGTCCCCAACACCCTTCTCATTCCCGACTTGAAATACATCTAGGCAGAAGTACAGAAACAAAATCACAGAGCAAACTTGAAGTGAAATACTTGTTTCATTGTTAACATTCAGGATAAATGAAAGTCATCATATGATTTTAAATGAGTTTTAGCTCAGGTGAAGGAACTTTGAGGTCTCAAGAGCTGGGTTCTCAGGAGCATCAAAGTGCTAAGCCATAGCTGATAATCTGGCAAAATGTTAGTGAGCAGTAGATAAAATCTGATCCTTTCAACACTTCCTGGAATCTCTTCCTGGATAGATTATGCAGTTGATATTAAAATTGTTCACTCTGTTGGCTGTCTTCATGTCTTCAATAGGTGCTGTAGCCATAGCCAGAGCCAGAGCCCCATGGTCTACAATAGCTGCCTCCATAACCACAACCCAGGTTGCTGTAGTTGCTACCACCAAAGCCATACCCTAGTGAACTGTAGCCATTGCAACCTTGTCCATAGTTCAGGGGAGATCCCAGTGGCACAACACAGTTTAAGGGAGTGGCTCTGAAGCCTCTGTGCCAGTTGGTACCATAGCAAGGATATCCTGGGAAATAGTTTCCGCAGCAGAAGAATCGAGTCATGATAGCAGGTGTTGAAGACTTGGCTAGATTGCTAGGAGCAAGTTGCTGAAGTCTGAATTTCTTCTTCTGCATGGAGCTTTTATATATTTGACTTGGGAATGTGACACACCTCTCCCGATTTTTTAAATGATAATTTGCATGAAGAATCCCATTGTTTTCACTCATAATGACATATAAAGAGGTTTTTAAACTCTATAAAAGACTAAGGTAGCTTTGCTGGCTAGATAGGAATGTGCTGTGTCTTCAAAGAATGATGGGTACCTTTGAGATATAATTGAACTCATTTAATCAGAGTTTTGTAGTTCAATTATTTGTTTTCTATCATATGTTATTGCTGACTTCAGATTTTGAATTCGTTTCCATTGACCTTCCAAATATCAGTAAACTTTATATAAAGTAAGAAGTCACTTTTTCTCTCTTTTAACTCAAAGCAAAGATGTAGAATAGGTCTTTTGTTCATTGATAAACATGGTATTAGTGAGTGTGGTTCACCAGAAAGACCACTGGATTTAGAGTGAGTTTCTCTCTTGACACTTTCTGATCTTAGGAACCTCATTTACCTTTTCTGAGTTTCAGTAGCTTCATATACAGAGTGAAAGTAAAGGCAGCTAGGTGGTGTACCAGATAGAGCACTGGTCTTGGAATCAGGAATATCTGAGTTCAAATCTGGCCTCTGACATTTACTATGAGACCCTGGGCAAGTCACTTAACCCATATTTGCCTCAGTTTGTCATCTGTAAAATAAGAGCACACTGGAGAACAAAATGGGAAACCATTCCAGTATCTTTGCTGAGAAAACCCCATTGACAAATATCCATGGGGTTGAGCAAAGACAGACATGACTGAAAAACAGAATAGCAACAATAATATTGATATAGAACTTCAGTGTTTTCAAAGTGTTTTGGATTATGGTATTGAATCCAAAACAGAAATGGAGTCCACTAAATCACACATAAAGGATCCCTGCAGACAGCATATTGATTTAGAAAATCACATATTAACATATCTGTGTTGTATTATATTTTTATTTATTTTATTAGATATTGCCCAATTGCATTTTTATCTGATTGGTGTTTTATTGGGGAGTATTGCAGCTGCAATGTGCCTGCTGGTGCCCTGTTAGACACCTCTGTTTTAGATCATTAGATTTTCACAATAATGCTATGATGTAGGTGCTATTATTATTACCCTCATTTTGTTGATAAGGAAACTGAGTCCAAGAAAGGCAAAGTGACTTGCTTAGGGTCCCACAGCTAGTATGTGAGGTTAGATTCAAACTCAGGTTTTCCAGACTCTAAATCTAACTAACACTATAACCACAATACCATGATGCTATTTGCACTGTTTACTTTACAGGGTTGTTGTGAGGAAAGTATTTACGAAGCACTATGTAAGTGTGAATTGTTCCTATTATTAGAGCAGTATATGATCTCTTGCACTTGGATTTGTATTTCATTTGGTAACATAAACAAGTAGAAGACATGCATATTGCCATTTAGATGGCAGCATCAGATGAGGCTATAATTGTCTCAAATCATGGGATAGCTCGAGTTAAGCTACAATTCTTGTATTTATGGGCATCCATCTAGTTAATAGCACACTGTTTGAACTATACCACCCCACCTTTTTTGTCAAATCTGTTTAAACATTCTGATGCCTTGTTAGAGAATGGCTACACCATTGAAACGTGAAGGAACTCAGATATCAAAGTGATAGATTGTTATGCTTGGTGGTTAACAATTCCCGGGAAAGCAAGCTGGAATGTTTTAATCAATTATGTGTAAGAATGTAACAATATTCAGTTCTCCTTTTCATTTATGACTCCTGTGACCATTGTTTGTCACTGTGGTGAAGATAAATCTCAAGGACCAGTTTTCTTTTCAATGTGGCTAATTCTATAGATTTCAAATCTTTTTAAAAGCAAATTTTGTTTCTGATACAAATTCGAGAATTCTGAATTTTCCTTGAACTTGACAAACACGAACACTTATTCATACAAAGAACAAAAAATGATTATATATGACTCTATGAACTTTTATCACGTAAAGCCTTTTCTGAGAGTACATTTCAAATTTAACATGGTAGCTCCAATATTGCCCATCTGAATTTCCTTCAACTTTCCTGTGTGCTTTTAAAAATGTTTCATTGACAATATTTTCTTTCTTTTCTTCTTTTCCTTTTGGCATCTCTATCACTACCCTTTCCCCTTCCCCTCTAGATTGGGGAGTAGAGAGAGTGTTGCTTCCCCCCCGCATCTGTCTCCTTTGTAGCAAATTATAGCCAAACAAAACAAATTCACACATTGGCTGTATCTTAGAATTCAGCCTCCACTTCTAGTCTGTTACCTCTCTGCCAAGGAAATAGAAGCATGATTCGTCATCAGTCTTCTGCTGTCAACCAATCAATCAACAGGCATTTATTGTTCGAGTCATTCTAAAAATGCACCAAATGGCATATATATATATATATGTATGTATATACACACACACATATATATTATATATAAGTGTATATAATATATATAAGTATATATAATATATATAAGTATATATAATATATATAAGTATATATATATAATACACTCACATACACACACACACACACACACACACACACACACACACACACATATATATATATATATATATATATAAAGTATTCAGAATGATTTTCTCTGTGGGCCAGAGGAAAGGTCCAAAATGTGTTGTGGTTCTAGAGAGATCATTTTCTTACCTCCCTGAAACAGGCAGAGGCTATCTGAGCTCTGAGATTGTGGGAGAGGAAAAAATCAGAATCCTGTAGCCCTGGAGCTTTTGATTGCGGCAGTGGAGGGGTGAAGATGGCAGCCACAGCAGATAGTCACAAAGGAGAGTAAAGAGGTCCCCGTAGCTGTCACTATTGTTAGTGACTCTTTCTTTGAGAATTGTAATAGGTTTAACTCCATCATATGCTTCCTCCACATCTACAGCTTGCAAGCATTTTCTATGTGATTTTCTCGTTTCTTTAAACTGTTTCTAATTTTAATTTTTTTCCTTTAAAAAAAAGTGTGGTTTATCATAACTGCTTTGTGATGCATGTATGTATGTTAACATAATTAATTAATATATTAATTTCATTCATTAGTATAATTAATTTTCTTTTAGATGCCAACTTTTTATTCTTTATCTGGAGAGAGAAGAGTTATGTGTTTGGAGTATCTAAGCTCAGGGCCCCAAAGCCTTAAGGTATTTGGAGGAACTTTTACAATTTCCTCCGAGTGTATATTTGTCAAACAGGTATTTCCCAGTTCTGTTTTCTAGCAATCTCAGTCTTTTTAAGTTAGTGATGTGATCTCCAAGCAGCATTCATTTTAAATAATTAATATATATTAATTTCACTGAAGGTTGTATGTGGGGTTGGGATTGGGGATTGCAACAGAAGTAAGGAGCTGAATGTTTGCCTAAAATAACCAGGATTTCATCCCAAATGGGGAATTTTGGGCTGAAAGTAAGGGAGAATTTTTTGGTAATTACTATTAATAGTTGCTACATTATAAGGATAATGATGAGACCTGTGGTTTCATTTTATAAGTAACTCCTGCATGAGTAAGCCCCCTGCCAATGCAGGTAGGCACCTTCTCTGCAACATTTTTTTTAAAGAATTGTCCAGAGCAGGAAGAAATTCAGTGACTTGCCCAGGGTCACAAAACCAATATGCGTCAGCGGTAATACTTGACCTAAGTTCTTCCTAGCTTCTGGGCCAGCTCTTCAACCTCTTTATAACGCTATCTTTCATAATAAACTTTTATAAGCTCCTAAATATAGCTGAGAGATAGAGGTGCTCTTCCCTGTTTACATGGTGAATTATAACCATTACTCTAGGCTAAAAATGATTCAATCTTGAATAGTTTCAGGTGTAGCTTAGAACATAGGCACAGGAGGGAAGCCTCAACCTCTAATGCAGAGGAAGTGAAGTAGGAGCATAGATGAATGGAAGATCATACCTCTGGGGTGACCCAGTAGAAGAAAACTGTGGTCTGAGAAATATCTGCTGAGCCCACATTCCTACAGTGGGAAAGACGTCTTCTAACTAAAGCTAGTCTCACAGTGACACCTGCTGGTTACATATGGGAATTATATCTGGGTTAACTACATACACACATATACACACGTGTGTATGTATATATTATTAATGCATTTATATGACAATTGCTTAATGAGAATTTTAAGTAACAGCCATATATATATATATATACATATAGATGATGGAGTCCAATTTAAAGGATTATACATATGATAAGGCATAAGATATATAATATTACACATTTGTTACATATGTATATAACATATTATAGATATTATATTTATATACTTTGTGTCCTACCATATGGTTGATTTAAAAAACAGTACTCTGGAATGCTGGGAAATATAAATATATACACACACGCATATACATGTATTTCTAAATATATTTCTGAGCATTACTTAGCACTGTTACAAGTAGGGTACAAAATGCTCAAAAACAAATGAAGAAAAGATGAAATATTAAAAACACATCTCTTATTGACCATAATATAATAAAATGTAATGAATAAGGAGAATTTGAGGAAAGAATTCAGACTTAAATAGAAATGAAATTATATTAATAATTCATATTAATTATGTTAGTAAGCCTAAAAATGAGTAAGTCAAAGAAAAATAATGAAAAGGAAGCAAAATATTATCAAAGAAAATAACAAAAATTAGATAAAATAGCAGAATTTTCAGGATGCATCTAAGTTAATGCTTAGGGAAAAATTTTTAACTCTAAAAACTTACACTAACAAATCAACAAAATTTTAAAAAAAAAGAGAAAGGAGAAATTACTGTCAATGGAGGGCAAATAAAGCAGGTTATCAAATCAGTATTTTGCTCAATTATATACCCCAAAGCAAAAATAAATTACTAGAATTTCAACAAAAATATAAAATATTAAATCAAATTCTCTAAGTAGAGGATGCTGAGGAAATTGCTTCCCTGAGAATCAGGACATATAAAGGTAATATCTTGGAGAGATTGT